TTTGCTCCCAAAAGTTACCAACTATGGCCCCCTCCCCACCTCTTTAAACTAAGCCCCCTGCGAGATGAAGCTTTCGATTTAACAGATTTGTTTGACAAGTAATGGTATATTCAATATTTAGATTTATCAATAAAGAAACAAATAATGAAATATACAACCTTATTACGACTAGCAGAATAGAAGGGGCGCGGCACGTTAGTGGGTTAAGTTTGCTCACCTAATTCTGTTTCTTCAAATTAATGGTACAAGTTTTTTACTTTTATTTCAGAGTTACCAACTAAATCTTCAGAGAGTACCACAGAGCCGGCACAACTAACGACCGACCAAGTCTCCGAGGAACGGAAGACAGGTTGATAGATTGATATAATAAAAAACATATTGTTTGCATTTAAATAAACCAGTCCACAAATTTTAGACCTCGACGTACACTACCGTGTTAAGATAGCGGCGATTTGAAGCTACTGCTAGGTACCTACCACATCACTTACAATGCAAACATCCAAGATGGCGGCGATTTTGAACACTAATTTAGATTTTGCCCTGATAAGGTTATTTGTGCAAAAAACAAATCACTTCATGTACCTTTTTGTTGTATCTGGTAACCATGACAACCGATTGTCACCATACTTGGCAAAAATGTATCTTGAGATTAGAGAATAGGAGAACAGCTATCTAGAGGAGTAAGGCTCTAGAAAAATTACATGATGAATAATGATAATACTACTAATAATAATAATAATGATAATGATGATGATAAAATGATTGACAAGCAAGATTTTTCACCGATGTGTCGCCTATGTGGTGAAAGGGAGGAAACTGTCAGCCATATAACAACAGAATACAAGAAATTAGCTCAAAAGCAATATAAGAACTGGAGGCACGATCAGGTTGCTAAAGTCGTCCATTGGAATCTCTGCCAAAGTTACGATCTGTAGTGCAAAGACACTTAGTACAATTATTCTCCGGAGGGAGTGATGGAAAATGACCAAGTGCAGTTACTGTGGGATTTCAGAATTCAGACTGCGATCTCCATTTAGAACATAACAGGCCCGATATAGTTCATTCATTCATTCGTTTTCATTCATTCATTTATTTTTTCCATTAACCAGAAATACAAGAACAAAATACAAAAATTTATTATTAATACATTAAAGATAATATACAATATTCTAACTAAATTATTTACAAGATCAAATTTTTAAAGTGGTAATGACAAGGAAGTCTACATAGAAGCCGTGGGCTTATAACCTATAAACGTCCTGGAACTATAGGGTAAACGGGCATGCAAGTTAAGTCGTACTGGAAAAGACGAGCAGGGTGTGCCAAATCATCGATGTGGCATGTCCTTTTGATACCCGAATTGCAGAAAAAAAACGAGAAAAGATCGACTACTACCAGGACTTAAAAGTGGAATACAAAAGATGTGGAACTGGAAAAACGTATCTGGTGTTCCAATTGCAATTGGGGCACTTGGGACAGTGACCAAGGTGCTGGACGTAGCCAAGGAGCTAGAGCTGTCATAGAAAGTATGCCTCTTGGGAACAGCAAGGATCCTTAGAAGAGTATGAGCCATGGGATAAGTCACACCAATGTTAAGTAGAGGGAACGTATGCACCCAAGGCCAAGGGACGTAATGACTAAATGACTGTGAAGCATTTACATCATCATCATCATCATCATAGCAATAATAGTCATGCATGCTCATTAACATAGCAGTTCCATCTGAAAGTAACACCTCAGCGAATTTCACAGAGAAGCTGTCCAAGTACAAAGATTTGGAAATTGAAATCAATAGGATGTGGAATATGAAAACGGAAACAATACCAGTGGTCTTTGGAGCCCTAGGGCTAATTAGGGAGTTTAAGATACGGCGACTACGGACTACGACGACGGTTAAACATGCTACTGCGCATGATCAAAACCACGTGACTGTTCATTTTTCCCGCGTAGGCCTGCGGCTACGGTGAGTTGTTGAGCTGTTTCGCGTAGTCGGGACTACGGAGAACATTTTGGTCGTATGTTGCCGTCTCGGTAATTCAAGAATCTCGTCTTTTCGTAAAAAAGTTTTCAATTTACCCTCTTTAAGTGAGAGGGAAGCGAAATATGTAGGTTGTGTCTAATTTCTGCTCAGATTTACTCCTTCAATCCACTGTTGTGACTACATTTTTATCTAGCTCATATTTAAATAAGCTTAGCTGTTTAAACGCAGAATTCAGATTGACGGCCTAGGAGAAGAGAAATCATGCACGTAATTTACTTTCTCTTCGCACTTGAAAAGTTTCAATATTTGTTCGAACCGATTAGTGTGTCTTTCTACTTGTGTAACCTTCGTTTATGCGAGTTTCTGTATCACGCCATTTGCTGAATGAAAATGATGTAAACATCTTCGAGACAATCGAAACTCGGCATTTCAATACTTCAGACTACATCAGATCAGTAGTCGGAGAAGTCCATCTTCTAAATCTAATAAATGAGCTATTACTATTTCTGTCTATTTCTTTAATATTTGACATAAGTATTCATGGGTGAAAAAATAAAACCTGTGCAACCAAAACTTTGTTTACCAATTTTACCCGACGTAATTGCTTCCTTCAAGTATGGAAGAATTTGTTAATTGTTCTAAAGATAAGATCACATGCAAAACTGACTTGCATTTTTGTGAACTGTGATGAAAACAAGAAAATCTTTGCGTGTTGTTTCCCTCTCCGCCTCTTCTCTCGTAGTCTACTGTCTTTAGTGCAATGTTAACGTTCTATATTTGCACGACTCAACCCAGTGCTACAAACAAAGGACAATGCTCGTCAAGCCGTAGTTCGTGGTCCGTAGTCTCCGTATCTTAAACTCCCTATTAAGAAGGGACAAGACAAGGTCACTAGTAGAACCCCGGGTAACATTTGCAGCAATGAAATCCAGAAAATCACAATGCTTGGAAGAGCCCACATACTAAGGAAAGTACTGTCGCTGAAGTAACTTCTTCCCCTATAACGCCCCAGGCCCACTGCTTGGCTCCGGCAACAATGGATGGAAAGCAGGAAACCTTGTCAAGAACATAATAATAATAATAAAAGTAAAGCTATCCTGAGTGCAATAATTAGTAGGGATGTAGGGTTGCAATAGAGAGCATAGATACTTAGCTAGTTCATAGTTATAGGTCCCAATCGACGAGACTATAGGTCTGAAAGGAGGCAACGAGTTAGGTCCACGTGGCTTGTGCATTTTTGGTAGTCCATAAATCCTTGCTGGCTGGGAACCAGAGGGGTAATTCAAGCCAATTAAAGAAGATCCTACCCTGTTAAGAGAAAGTCAGCTTCAGCGATTTCTGAGGAAATTGAAAACCAATGGACACTTGGATCCGAAAGTGTACTCCAAAATCCACCCCTCTGGTTCCCAGCCAGCAACGATTTATGGGCTACCAAAAATGCACTAGCCACGTGGGCCTAACTCGTTGCCTCCTTTCAGACCTATAGTCTCGTCAATTGGGACCTATGACTATGAACTAGCTAAGTATCTATGCTATCTATTACAACCCTACATCCCTACTAATTATTGCACTCAGGATAGCTTTACTTTTGTTAATGAAATCCAAGATATACCTTTATCGGATAATAATAATAATAATCAGTCGACCCTCCCTAATACGGACACCGAAGGGACAGAGAGCAGTGTCCGTATTAGAGAGGTTTCCGTATAAAAGAGGTCACTACGATGACGTCACTTTGTGTTTAGTGAGCTAAAATCAGGCTTTCTCTCTTCACAGTACGAAGACACTCTCTTTCAGTAGTTTCAATAGCATACAACATTGTACATCTCACTGTTTTAAAACGAATCATTGTACATCTCACTCTTAATAATAATAATAATAGTAATAATAATAATAATAATAATAATAATAACTTCATTTGTATAGCGGTATATACAAAAGCTCTATATCGCTTTACAATCAAAAAAAAAAAAAGAAAATAACTAACTAACAATAGCACTAAAACAAAAAGTCAATTGAAAGCGAGTCTAAAAAGATAAGTTTTCAGATTTAAAAACATCAACATCATTTTTAGATTTAAAAACATCAACTGATCCACTTAATTTAATGTCTAAGGGAATATCATTCCAGTGCTTTGGGGCAGCGACCGAAAAGGCCCTGTCCCCATAGCTCTTCAGGCGCACATTCGGTACTTCTAATAAATGTTTGCTAGCTGACCTAAGATTTCTTGTAGGGTTATATGGGACTATAAGTTGACTTAAATACGGAGGCGCCAGATTATTGAGAGCTTTAAAAGTTAACAGTAAAACTTTAAAGGTAATTCGCTGCTCCACAGGTAACCAGTGTAGCTCCTTAAGGACGGGGCGAATGTGCGCAGCCCTAGGTTGCCCAACTACAAGGCGTGCAGCGCAGTTTTGAACGTGCTGGAGCTTCTGAATAATATACTCCGGTGACCCAAGAAGTAACGAGTTACACTCTTACAAATCATTGTTTTAAAACGAAACGAGCTTCAGCGCAATGCTGCGTGTAAAAGGTTGTAACCCAAAATACTATCCTTAAAACATCTTTCAACAGTAACTAGAGTACAAAATGTAATAGAAAAGATCTTTATGCTATCTGTAGTTATTCAAGCCTTAAAAACGTCGGTTTTTCTGCATGCTCTGTACACCTTTCAGCGGCTCTGCATGCTCTGTACACCTTTACAGCGGATGGGCTTTTGGAATCATGCACCTTGCATACACAAACTAACATCACCTGATCACCGCAATAAAGAGGTTAAGTTTGTGTGAATTTACTCTCTGGGGCCTAGATTTAATGTCCGTTGTCCGTATTAGAGAGAGTCCGTATTATGGAGGAAACTGTCCGTAATAGAGAGGTGTTCGTATTATAGAGGTGTCCGTACCGAGAGGTTCGACTGTAGTAATGATAATTATCATAAAAATTACTATTATTATTATCATTATCATTAATGGCAGTGCTATACCGATCACCTCTCTGTACATTATATTTCTAACCAGATTTCACTTTCGAAGTTCGTGTTAACGAGGAGTGGGACGACCAATTAAAGGACAAGAACAGTGAGAAATATAGGAAAATATCCACAGTGCTCAAAGAACAGGTACAGTTAACCAGGGAGGTACAGTAGATTTACTTTTTTCAAATGGGCAAGACTTTTCCCTTGGGAATCCTCTCTTATCCCTTTTCATTGCATGCTTCCCAGGCAACAATAAACGCTTTTGGCCACAATTAAGTTCAATAGTATGTCGTTAAGTGAAAAAGACTCTTAACTCATCACAGGTAAATTTCATGAGTGTAGTTTAGAAAAATTACAATAACCTAGAAGACTGCCGATGGATGATGCATTCAATTTAAAATTCCATTTTATAGGTATTTATGTCCTAGCAAAAAAGACTTTTTATTAGCTGACAGGGAGTATGTTATAACGCTTTTGATCCTCCATATCTTTTTGAAAAGTACGAGGTACTGCAAAAATGTTACCTACATATTAGTTTGAGTCGAGGTGCCTTAGCGGTGAACAATGAATTTGCACTTCCTTCTCTCAAGCCTTAACTGCTATTTCGTTTAGATACTTGTACTAGTATTTCGACAAGAAACTAATTGCAGTGTAAGTGTGTACATTGGTACCCGCAACATACAGCTGAGGGTAATTCTGCTTTTGACTAGCACCCCGTCCAGAAGGAGGCGTAACAATATTACAAAGCGCTTTTGCAACTGCCTTCAGGTTAATCTCCCACCGTTTTGCTTTCACTCGCGCCTAACCAAAGTTTTCTCATAGTCACGTATTAACCTTATAGAGCCTTTTCATATGAGGTCAGGTCCGCCACGTTGGTGTCGCAAAACAATAATACGGAGGCCATGTGGATGATTTTAACTAGTCCTGTGGGACTTGAACTCTCTTCTTGTGTAAACGCTTTCTTAAGTCGCAATAAGTTTGCAAAGCTGCTGGCCACGTAAGTGAAAACACTCTATACTAGGCTTAATGAAGTATCGAGAAAATGTCTCTTGACGTTGCCAACTAAATACTAATTTTGATTCCTATTTAGAATTTGTTGTGCGTTGATGCAGGAGGAAACTCACTATTTCTTTTTATCTTTTTATCTATATTCTTCACTCGACATTGTAGATTAAAAGAGCATATTCTGGAAAGTCTGAACTGCAAAATGTGGAGATAATTTCATTTAGGTAATGTGCATTTAAATGTGATTATCATTGGCATCATAATCTTCATCATTATTTTTATAACTATCATCATCATCATCATCATCATCATCATCATTATCATCATCATCATCATCACTATTTTTAGTGAGTGTCAGGGAGGTGCATGACTCTTTATCAAGCCTAAATGTCGGGAAAGCAATTGGCCCTGATATGATACCGAACAGGGTCTTAAAGGATTTCGCACCTGAACTCGCACCGCTAATTATGGATATTTATAACTGCTCACTCAGGGAGGGCTATGTTCCTGATCTGCTGAAGCGATCCATAATCAAGCCCCTGCCCAAGGTTTCTCCGCCTCAAGAAATTCAGTCTGACTTAAGATATATTTCTCTGACATGCACCCTTGCAAAAGTCATGGAAGGGTTTGCGCGCAGCAGGCCCGTGGCGCAAATTTCGGAAAAAACGTGATCCACGCCAGTACGCAAGGGAGGGGCACCCCACCACGGACGCCTTGATTTAAATCCTACAGGCGATTCACGAGCCAACTGATCGTGGGAATTGTGGGGCTAGAATGTTCTTGCCGATTACTCAAAGGGTTTTCACCTGATTGACCATTCAATTCTTCTCAGGGAGTTGACGTCTTTCGATATAGACACTGTCTTAATTAACTGGATTAGGGCCTTCCTGACTGGAAGATCGCAAGCTGTAAGGATTGGAAACTGTCTGTCTGATTGGAAGTCACCCATGCAGGGGAGGTATCCCGCAAGGGACGAACTGGGTGTGATTTTGTTTGCTGTGATGACCAACAGTCTTTTGCGTGACTGGCATTTGAGGATTAAATTCGTTGATGATAACACGGCATTAGAAATCCTGCCAAGGAATGGTATTAGCTTAATAAATGTAGCTGTCAATGATATTCACAAGTTTTCTATCGAACATAATATGAAATAAAATCCGAAAAAGTGCAAAAAAAAAACGTCACACCGATGACCACCGATGAACATTTCTAAAAACTCATCGGGGTTCTATGATTTTACACAGCAGGACAACTAAAAGAACTCGCAGATAATGAGAACAAAAAGAATTTTGAAGTGCAGGCGTCGAAATTACCGTGAATTTAATTTTTTTGTGCGCTTACAAAAGGAAAACTATTCCCTCGTTTGCCATTAATAAACTCATGCAAACTTGTTATGAAGTTGTTTGAAGCCGCCAGCTGGTTTTGCTGAACGAGACAAGAAGCTATACTGACGCCTGGATTGCCGTAGTGAATGGCTGCATACCCTCTATTTGTAGCTAGTTGCTTGTGATTTATATTCTTTATGTCGGATGAACAGGCTGCAGTTATCTATCGGCGAGTGGCTTCGCGATCATGAAGAAACAATAACTGCAGCCTGTTCATCCCACATAAAGATGAATACTTGTCTTGGTCGAGGTATTCATGGCTTGGTCGAATTTCATGTATTTTCATGTGTTTTTCGATAATCTTTCAAACAAACTCTTGTGGCTTTTTTGTTTGTTTTCCCGGTGAAATTGCATTATCTAGTATTCTAAGAATTAAAATGATTTTCTTCGGGTGCCATTCTATCCTTCGCGAAAAAAATCTCAGCTTGCCAATCAAAACGCTAGAATTGCATTATCCAATGATTCAGTTTTTAATAAATATATATAATATAAACAACAACAACAACATTACGCTGTGTGCCAAAAACAATCGATTTCAAACAAACGTTTGAAATAAAGAAAAACTCTTTGTTCAGTGAAAATACTGAGGCCTGGTCCTTATGTACCCAGATACTAGTTTTGAAAAAGGGAAATTTAAACCTACCGGCCACACGTTAACATCGTTTTCATGCACCAAAAGCGCAGGTTTTCAAAAACGGTCCCCAGAGTAAAGATTTTTGAAAACACCTGCTTCTAGTATATGTGTGGACGGACGAAAACGGAGGTTGTCGGTTATGACGATTTCGTAGATCATATGCTTCTAGTATTACGTATTCTCTGTGGGGATGCTATCCTATTTCAATCGTTTTAGCGTTGTCATGTGGACGTGCGAAAACGATTCAAATATGCTTCGTGTGCACGCGTATTTCTTCTTCTTCTTCTTCTTCTTCTTCTTCTTCTTCTTCTTCTTCTTCTTCTTCTTCTTCTTCTTCTTCTTCTTCTTCTTCTTCTTCTTTTTTGGAAGCGGAAAAAACAATAATAAAAAAATTTATCCGGATACCTGTGGACGAGGCCTTAATTCTTTTTTATTTTTTTTCCTCAGGAAAGGCAGTATTGTAGCTGAATTCAAACTGACATTCAAAACGAGTCTAACTGCCAAAGAAGCCATGGCTCCACTAAAGCAAGAAACAGCTGATGGAAAACTAGGGAGCTTAGAAGTGGACTCTAATTCCTTGAAACTTAAGGACAACAATCATGGTAAGTTGCCAATGATATTTTATCCAAAAGTAAATGGTATTGTGAGCGCGTTGAAAGCTGGAGACACATCTTAAGTAGGTTGAATATATATGATCGTACGAGTTTGGTTCTTCTAATATCCAAAACGTGTGCGGAGGTCGTAAACATAGTCGAAGTGATCTGTAATTTGTAGATAGGATTAGACTCTAATGATTGGTCGACTACTTTTCCATTTTATCGGTTGCCGGCGGTAATATTATTGCCTGTGAGGACTCTAGGCACTTTTCGTAAAAAAATTATCGGCGTTTTTTCTAAGTTAAAGCAGCTTTCTAAAGCAATATCTGAAGAGCACGTTCTACATTTGTTAGAACTAGAGCCACTGCGATTTTTTCTTTAACCATGAGCCTTAGACCTTAGGATTGAAATTGCTTTGTGACATGGTACTTTATTCTCATTTACTCAAAGACTACCCTTGACCTACAAATACACGCAATCATTTAAATTAGAAAATCATTAGAAATATTCAAGATCTATTGCTTCCACTGGCGGTTATATTGAAAGAACCATGGAAAGTATTACGAAAAAAAATAATAATCAGTCGGAATATCTCGAATCGCATATTAATCTTGTTGGATGTATTTTGCATTCCACCTAATTAACATTGTCTTGCACAGGTGGAAACAAGGAGGAAGGGTCCAGCAAGTCGTCCAATCTGCCGTTAATTATTGGGATTACGTGCGGTGCTATCGTGTTAATTACCACCATCGTAATCTCGGTCGTTTTCCACTGTAGACGCTCCAATCCACGTGATAACAACAGCGATGGCACGCCTGCCGAAGGGAGCGGCTCAAAACGAGAGCGATATGAATTGAAACCAACAGATTCGAAGGACAAAGACATTGTTTCGGTGGAGGAAAAAGGCACTAATAACGAGGGAATGGAATAAACGGCCCATTGATACCTCCACACCGTCATGCTAAAATACCTTCATTTTCTGAATCAACGAAATATTATTAAATTAACAACTGATGTAGCAAATGTGCTTACAAGCGACACTTCTTTTGACAGCATCTTACTGTCGATAGGGCAGTGAAGTCAAATTCTCACTCTCGCTTGCAACTTCAAGCACATGTTTTTGATTGTTTGTTTTTAAGTTGTACTTTTTTAATGTTAATTTTTTAGTGGCAGCTGCTTTTATAGAAATATATAAACAGTACATTACAATACTAAACTTAAAACCACGCTTGAGTGACAGTTTGCATAGCAGAAGCTTCACCTTGATATATTTCAGTATTACGCTATTGCGTCTGAAAGTAGACGTTACCATGGCAGCAAAAGTATTTCTTGACAGACATGAACATTTGCATTGTCCAACGAAGGAAGAAACGTATGGGCTACCATTTTGTTATTGAGTGCAATCATGCACAGGAAAGTCATGCATGTCAATTTTTTCCACCATTTTTGCAGGACTACGGTTTGTTGAGATCCAGAAATTTTGCTACCATGGCTACGTAACATAACGACTCCTCCAATCTCTAAATAGATTATTATGACATTTCTATAGACCCTAGCAATTAAGTGAATGGTTCTGTACTACTACTTGAGAATATCATATAATCTTATATATTACTTTTCATGATCTTTCGATATATGGTTATGATCAAAACTATAATAATAATAATAATAAATAAAACAACAATGTATGTTACGAATAGAAGCTAACCTAAGAACCGTAAAGGTTAATTAACTAGAAGGATTGGCATCATGAAATATAACATTATCACATAGAGCTGCAAAATGTACGTCGAATTAAATAAAATCTGCTTGCATGAAGATTGCTTTTTTTGCTGAATAAAGAATTTTATATACAAAAAGTTTATAGTTTTGTCAATGGAACAATGGACTATTTTTATTTACGTCAGTGCCCCACTGCAAAGCTTAAAATCTATATGCTAGAAATAGCTGACACTACAGCTGCCCCTGCTCTGTATTTTGTCGGTCAATAGTATTCTTGCTCGTTGTGTAGCTCTTTGAAATATACCGATTCTTAATAAAGATTTTCACACATATTCCATACGATAGGTAAGATAAATACAGGAAACGCAAGGTTCCATGCACAGTTTCAGCTCCATTTCAAGAGATTTGATCAAAACATTCTCAGTTTCGAGAATAGTTTATTCTAAACCATAAGAAAAGATTTAATTAGAAGTTGAATTTTTCGCTATTTCTCTTTCACTTTTTACATTCAGTTCATTTTATTTGCCGGAAAGTAAGCCTTAGAAATTAAAAGGACGTTTGATCGATTCACGCTCGCGCATTCTAGTCTTATTTGAAACTTTATAACGGAGGGACATCTGTGAGCAGGGAATAAGTCAGCACAGAATTTGATTGTCGGCGAATTTCTGTAATCGTCCATCGTTCTGCTAGTGATAAGCTAGCCGTTGTTCACTCGTCAAGTGCTTGTTTGGGGCTGAGTCTTATTCCGGTCAAAGAGAGAGAAAGAGTGTCTGGCAAGGTTTCCAATATAAATCAAAGATTTGTGAACTCAGTCGTGTCTGGCAAACTCTCCAAGTGTTAATATATACCACAGTTAAACGCACCTTATAACCTCATCTGCGCTTAACGAGTGTCTTCTGGTCCATAACTTTCAAAACAACTGCTCCACAGAATATCACTGCGTAGCGCAAAAGAGTATCGAAGTATGACTGCACAATAAATGTCAAAAATCTACCTGAGCGGTCCCTTCGGGATTTTCTGCCTTTACGTCATCCTAACCATTTCGTACTTGCGGGCGCAAACAAAAGAAACGTCATCATTACCCACCGATTCCTCGCGGCCCCTGTTCAAGCAAATCGAGATTTTTCTATATTGACTGTATGACTGTATATTTCAACTGTAAGTACTTTCCTTAATATACGCGCGAGTTACTAGAGTGCCCCCTCGGGATTTCGCCTTCTGGGCGAAAGCCCTGCGGGGGCAACAAACATTGATGAACCCGAATTTTTACGGCGGCCGTTTTGAATGACGTCAAAGGTCCTGCAGCGACATATCGCATAACATTTACAATGCGAGAATATCTAATTCGAAGATTTTCTTATCTTCCCTTCTCTAGTTTAATTGGCTGCAGTTCCGATTCTTGTAGGTAATAAAATAAAATGAAGTAAAATGAAAATTGCTAGGATCCTGCTTTCAGGATCCAGATTTCCTTACATGGACCGAGGCAAAAACCTAGCAGAGGACGAGAAATAACGAAGCACTAGACAGTATGAGAAGGAAAGTCTCGACTTTCCCTCGATTTTCTATTCCGTTCACTTCTTCATATGGTAAACGCGCGGAACGTAAATTAAAATAGCAATGTTGAATGACGAAATGGTGGCCCAGTACCATCATTTTCAAATTCTTATAGTTCCCAATTCTGTGCATTCGTTCGTTAATGCGTTTTGTGCGAAAGTTTACCTGCATATAATCAAAGGAGAAATACAGCATGAAGTAAAAAAGACACCATTTGGTCGGTAATTATCAGGTAAACACTTCTGCCTTTATAGAGTCAGATTGGGTGTCCAATTTACTGTTCTTTTTTTATTAAGGAGCATTTCGAAGAATAAGCAGTGGACACGTAGATTTTTATTCGGAAGGGAAATTCGTTACCACCTTTTGCACTCGTGTGAAATACCTCAACCCTCCAAAATGAAAAGTCTTAAACCAATTCATCTTTGTTTTACTTTGTCTTATTTTTACAATTCCCTGGATATATGCGGAGTTAATGTTGGATATCAACATTTTACTCGAAATTCAAACATTATCTCTTTCAGACGAAATTACCGTTATAGTTCTATCAAAATTTTAAAGCAAATAGATAATTAACATAGGAATCTATCGCACACTTAGCTAATTAGTTGACTTGCAGATAAATAGATACCACCTTTCACCTGTGCATTATAATAGGCTGAAGTGATGAACTAGTAAAAGTGCTCACTTGCAGGTCGTTTTATCCGCAGAGAGAAATGGCATAGAAAAAATTTACATAAAATGAGAACCTCGAAATATTCACTGAACTTAAGTGCTCTGCAGCATTCATTGGAGAACCGCATGGCGAAATTATTTTTCCTTCAGTAGTAAACATTTTCCTCTCCATTTCTGCACGTCCGGGAAACACTTTGATCTTTGCCGCTCTTAAGGTGGCTCGTTCCAGTATTTTTGTACGTACACCTTCAATCTTTGAATCTCTTAGACTTAAACAAATGGATCTTTATCGTAAACACATTATAACAAATGTATTACACATAGACTAAACGTTATTATGATATTATTTATTGGGCGATCGGAATAAATATCACGTGAGAATGACGTCACAATAATTTTAGTTCTAAATCGAATTTCTGCCCTTATCGGCTTTTTCTTTGAAAATGCTTTACGGTACCTAAACTTTGGGTGTTTGTCTTCTTTTGTGCCAAGTTTCACAAGAATCTATAGGAGTAATTTCGAGATATCTTGGAATTTCTGCGAAAAGGTATAAATTATGCATGAACTGAAGGCTGGACTTCATGCAGACAATTTTGCTACCTTTCGGAGGTTTTCGAAAAGTTTTTATCACTCATTCGTTTTGCAAACGACCTTTATACACTCTACAACCAGCTAAACGCAAGTAGACTTGAGCGATTTTGAAAAAACATGAAAACATGTGAAGAATCAGTAAAACGCAATGCTGAGCTAAATTCTAAGGCCACTATCATAAAAACGGTGATTAAATCAAAATTCGTTGATAGATTTTCCTTAAAAAATTTCAGTGGTGCAATTGATCAGTGTTGTGTAAAATCCCCGAATTTCGTGTTCATTGAAAACTTTTTGAGTTGTCTAACGAAGGTCCAAAATTGAGTAAATATTGAAGCGGTGTCATAGATCTGGTTACGCTATTGTGACGTCATTGCGTAACCTCGCGGTCTTCTGTTTACTTTCGAAAGACGCTATATTTTTTTAGTTTCTCAGCGAAATATCGAAGTTGAGTAGATAGAGTTGAGTTGAGTTGATAGAAGTCACCATAATAAACAAGGCTTTGAAGGTAAAATGCTCAGCGGGAAGGAATTAGCTGCGATTTAAGAATATGTGTGGCAGACATAGGAGACTCGTCGAATTGCACGCCAAGATTCTTGCTGTTTTATTACCTCGACTTTCGCATTTATTTTGCTTGTTACCCCCAGAATCCTTCAAAATAATTTGCTTGACTTGTATTTTGTTGAAATTCGTCACTACAAGCGTTCATTCTTCGCAAAAGCCGCCAATTTATCTGTGCCGCATCTACCGCCATTTTTCCAGTCAGTTTTTCAAAAATCGTTGCGTGAATCTCTGGAACTAGGCACATAATTGGCTAAATCTATTAACTTCCTGAGGGCCAAATTTGGACTCAATCTGAAGTAACGCAATTTTTGTGTGCCAGTGCCTCTACCTTCTTTGGAATCGTCTTATACATTCGAAGCTCTGTGTACTGCCATCACAATCTTCGCCTAAACAAAAAATTTTTCTCTCCTTGCGCCATAACCAAATTCCTGTTCAGAACCATGTTGCTCAAGGACAACCGAGCCAAGCGATTCCACTGAACATAGCTCGTTACAGAAAGGCAGTGCTCAGCTAGTACCCTGTGTGTCCAAGTAAGTCTACGAATTACAGAAGGGCAATTTTAAAGCCCAAACGTGGGTTTCTGAGAAAAAAAGTTCTTTATTGAGGACACTATTGTTACACCTTCCACTGGACATGGACCACCATTTTATAAGGTCCTCCGAGTCACTCGAGGGTCGGGCGGGTTACCGGCTGACCCGTCCCCAGCCCTCTCTATTTGGATCGCACGAGGAGGATGGAACTCGAGAAGTGTGACAAGGGAGCGCCTGGGGTGATGGGAAAGAGGAAAGCGAAAAGGAAACACTGGACTGGGGACATGCCTTGGTTGCAGGG